ATTCACCAAACTGGCCTTAACCTTGTAGGGTTGTGTGGTCTGTTATACTTTAAATATACTCTACAAGTTGTTCTCAAACTCAGGATACCTTTGGATAATTTCCTTTTGCTGAGAATGTTGATTTTAGCCTTTTAAAATTTCTAACCTTCTCTAAACAACTTTAACTATTAAAGTACAGGTTATTTGGATATTTAAAGAAATATTTTTATCTAAACACTTAGATTTTCGTGATTATTAATTGAAGTTTTAATCTTACTTCTTCCATATATTTTTAGAATACACATTTTATATAGTATCTAGTGCTGACTTTTGTATTTATTTATTTTAAAATCTCAGTTTATGTATTCAGTTTTCCTTAGTTTTCATTTTCAGTTATGATTGTCAGAGATGTCTCTAGTGATATAGTTCAAAGTAGTTTCTTTTCCCGATTTTGTATTTTTTCCTAATGTTAGTATGACACAGACAGAAAAATAAGAAGAGAACAAATGGAGCTGTGGATATAACTCTGTGGTGGAATGCTTGCCTAACATAAAGACTGTCTTGTTTTTAATCCCCAGCACCACAATTTTGAAAAACAGAACAAATTTGTTATACTCCTTCAGTGCAGTGTCATTTACAGCATATTACTAATTCAGACATAGTTTTTACCACTGCACAAGTGTTTTACACTGTAGAATTCAACATTTATTAAGCATCCATCTTAAGCAAATAATTGCTTTTAGTGTGATAACCACCTATTAAATCCTAGTCATTTATTTAGGAAGAGTATCAGTTCTTTGTACATGAGTTGGGGTGTTATAAATTGTTTTTCATAGTATTCCTGAGGATCTGGTTTAAAACCTTATCATCACAAAAATTTTCATCATAAAATTTATAGTTTACCTTACTTAAAAGAAATATATTTTAAATCTGAAAAACCTATGCACACTAATTCCATTCTTGCAAACCAAATATATGGATTTTAAATTTTCATTACATGGAATATTTGGAATAGTCAGGACTCATTAGTTTTTGGAAAGATATTTAGCATTATGGTGTGAATCTTTAGAAAGGGCAAGTTCCTTTTTTGTAGTCTGCTTGGCTTTAAAAATTATTTAATGCTTGCATCAGCAGCACATATACTAAAATTAAACATTTATTTTATTCCACTTTGTCTTTTTCCCTTTGCTTCTTGAGGCTATTTGACCTGTTTTGACGTTAAATGCCCATTAAATGTTAAACATGTTACTTTGAAGAGAATAGTAGAATTTTTGGGGGGAGGGAATTCTAAATTTTTATAGTATGCTATAAACATAATTTGCTTATCACTTATGAACCAGTAGTGTAATCATTTATTATCACATTTAGTCACCTTTGGCAGACTAAAAAGAATCCAACAGTGAGATTATTTTATTATTGATTTTACTTTTGTCATTATGACTTTTTGTGTCTGGCATTTTATTTGGCTATTAAAATATTGTAAAAGGAATCATTAATTTTAGTTCTCAATTTTGAGAATTTTTGTCTCTTTTGAGTGCTTACCTTCATTATACTATTTGTGCAGAATATGTAGCTTTCCTTTGTGAGTGTGACTTTACTCTTGTATTTCCTATCCCATTTCCCCTCATTCTCAGGTACAGTTTTTTAAAAAATTGTCTTCCTAAATCCTTTAATGCATTTCATAAAGACATAAAGAGAGTAAGGGTCTTTCCTACCATCTAGCAATGCATCTGACAACACATTATTTTACTCATTTTATTACGTGTTTTTTCAACGTTCTAATATTTGAATTTTATTTAAGGGTGTATTTTTCACAAAGAGAGCATCTCAACCTATTTCTTGTATTTAATGTTCTTCATTACTGTTATGTACGTACTATTTTAGCTAATTTCTATTACTTATAACTTCTGAATGGAAAAGGATCAGCTTAGTTATTAATTTCAGTTGGTTCTAAAACTTCCTGGGCCAGTTCTTCCCTCTACCAAGTTTTATTTGTAGATAGCCTTTGATGGAGCAATTGTTTTATAGTTCATTGACATTAACATTCATGCAGATTAATCCTACTGTAGAGACATTTTATGTCAGGTAAGTTAATATGTATAAATTGTAATAAGGTCTAAGAAGCAGAGGATATAATAAAATGTGTTTATTGCTGGGCATGGTGGTGCATGCCTGTCATCCCAGCACTCAGGAGGCTGAGACAGGAGGATCATTGAGAGTTTGAGACCAACCTGTGCTACAAAGTGAATTCAAGGCCAGCCTGAACTGCATGGTAAGACCCTGTCTCAAAAAATGTGTTTATTATTATTCTAAAGAGGAAAAAAGTTAATGACAGCCAGGAACCCTAAAGTGGTTAGGTGTGATGGTGCATGCCTGTAATCCAAATGCTTGGGAGACTGAGGCAGGAGGATATAAGTTCAAGAGCAGACAGGATTACATAGTGAGATCCTGTCTCAAAAAATGAAAAAAAAAACCTTTAAAATTTCAAGGAAAGTACAATATCAAAGAATACTTAAAGCTTTTCATATTAATCTTATTTATATGTAAAAATTCTTTCTGTGGAGTCATTTTCAGATTAACTGAGAAATGTGTCAGTATTTTGAATGCAATGTGATAAAATGAAAGAATTCTAAAAGCCAGTTTCTGTAAGTTTTATAGAGTTGGATTAGCCCATAAATGTGGGAAAAGCTTTGTGGGAAAAGCATTTATGGACCTGGGCTTTTACATAGCATGCTAGTAGATTTTGGGCATATTCCTTTGGCAATATAACTTAATGAAAGCAATGAAAGGCTTCTGGAACTCTGCATTCTTCTAGCATGTTATTAATAGTTTTAAACATCTTTACCACATAGGAATGAAAGTTAAGATTACCGTGTAGCGACAGTTGGTGTAGTTGCAACTTGCCCAAGGGCCTTCAAGATGAAGTATGTGTTTGAAGTTTTTGTTTCTTTTTATTCTTTGTGTTTTTGCTTTCTTTGTTTTTAATTTTTTTTAGTCTTTTTCCTTTTTATCGGTACCAGGGATCGAACCCACGACTGTCTGCTTGCAAGGCAGGCGCTTATGCCACTGAGCTAAATCCCCAGCCCCTGTTTTTGCTTTCTTAAAAAGACATACATTACATCTTGATATAATTTAAAATCTATTTAGCTATTGGTCCTCTTGACAAAAGAAGGAAATAATTTACATATGTTATGTGGTAGTAGTAGTAGTATTATTTTTAGTAGTAGTAATAGAGAAGCTTGCCTATCAGTCTGCTTTTAAATAGAAAATAGGAGTCCTTGAGGAGTGTGTTCTCATAGCAAGAATCACCAACTCATCAAGAAACACTCACAGTTTAAAGAAAATCTTTCCCTATTTATGTGTTCCATAAAGCCCATGAAGAGTGGCAGTACTTTTCATGGTTTGTAAATGGGTTTTCACTGGGAGAATATTAAACATAATGGGCAGTACTAGAAAGGGAAAAAACAAGTAAATGTGAAGACCCAGAGAAGCCTCAGGTATGGCTGGAAATGTGGAATGATCAGTTCACACTGGCTAAAACATGATTTGCATAAAATAAAGGCAGAAAAACAATATGATAAAAGCTCTGTACTTTGAGTATAAACTAAATACTTTTTAGTAGACTAGAGAACTTGCTTGTTTATGAAAAAATAAAACAAAATTTCAAAACAAAATAGAGTAACAAGAGTTAATACATTGTATTGTTATCTTTAAAATAGTGACTCAGAGTACAAGATATGAGTATAAAAAATTCTCCAAAGGACATAAGCACAAACTTTTTTCAATGAATTATGCAAAACTAGTAGTATAACTGTCCTGTATTTCCCCCCTTTTCCTCCCTACATTTCCTATTTCCCCAATTCTAGTTCCTCTTTCCTTTTGATGAATTTACAATAGATGCTGTGAAATGAGAAGAAATTATTCAAAAGGGATTTAGATCATTTCCCAAAAGTAAGTTGTAGCTTTCAAAAAATTTTGTGCAAAATAAATCAGCATTATGTTTCAGGAAGTTGAAAGGGAAGACAAATCAGGAAACAACTACAGCAATCAATGACAGCAATTAAAAGTGCCTCTTAATTGTAAGAATTCAAAAGCAAAGATACTTATACAAGACATCAGTGAAAAAACAAATGTTCATGATTTTCAACTCAAGAAGAACAAAAATCTCAATTTAATCAGTTCTGTATATACTTTGAAATGAAAAACTAGAACTCATAAGAGGGCTTTTCTTAAGTATAATCTAGGCTGAAAAGTAATGAAAAGCATATTTTTGTTTTTCAAGTATAAGTTTAAAATTAAACCACCTTACATATAAGGATGAAAAATAAGGAAATTAAAACATATCAAAAACATAATACAAGCTGTAGTGGGAATTGTAATAAAGACAACTATTCACAAGTGATAAGGTTTGCAATGAATCAAACTAAATATATATGTGGTATGCAACGTAGTTCTGGAAGCAGATGATATAAATGCTCAGAAAGAGAAAAATACGGAATGTTTTCTTATCACACAGATCCTAAATTCTGTTCTTAAAATATTGCATACTTCAAGAAATTAATTAGTAAAACTATTACAAGAGATACACGTTTTTCCTGATTATTTTTAAGGCAAGAACAAATTTCTTTTTCATCAGTTGATTTTTATGCTACAAGGCCCATTAGAGACAGTGACTCATGGAGCTGGCTTACACAGAACCCTAAATCTAGTTATATGAAAAATCTTGAATGCCACAACAAAAGAATTTTCCGATTTACCATTTGTTATTATGCTTAAGAGATCGTATTTATGGTCACTCAATTTTTTGTCGTAATTTTAAAATTAAATGAAGAGTTTTGTCAGGCATGAGAAATATACAACTATGTTCAGGAATACTCTTCGAGGAGGAGACACTAAAAATGTCTCCAGGGACAGAACCGTGATCTTTACTGAAAAACAAGTAATCCAGAAAAAAAAATCAAAAAACAAAACAAAATTTGCAGGAAAATGGGGCCATGGTTATTCACGGATTCTGTACTTACTCTTTGCGCCACGTGATGTCACTCTTCCCCACCATATTCTGTGACTCTAGAGGAGTAAGCGGTCTTTTTATCCCATGAGAAAATTTCTCCATTCCTGTTCACTCTCTGCGATGAACAAGGCGAACACAGGAAGATGGGGCTGACAGCATCTGGTACTTCTCTTAATTCTGAGGCGATTTATGTTAATTAGAAAAGGATCCAGCATTTGAAAGGATGCACTCAGGTGGAAGCGTCCCAGAGGGCCGGCATCTTCAGCTTTCGCTTCTGCTCTTCACAATCTGGGGAGGGGTAAGCGGCCAGCTCCACTACTCGGTCCCCGAGGAGGCCAAGCACGGCACCTTCGTGGGCCGCATCGCGCAGGATCTTGAGCTGAAAGTGGGGGACCTAGTGCCGCGCCAGTTCCAGTTGGATACCAAGGGCCGCGGGGAGCTTCTGGAGGTAAATCTGCAGAATGGCATTTTGTTTGTGAATTCTCGGATCGACCGGGAGGAGCTGTGCGGGCGGAGCGCGGAGTGCAGCATCCACCTGGAGGTGATCGTGGACAGACCGCTGCAGGTTTTCCACGTGGAGGTGGAGATAAAGGACATTAATGACAACCCGCCTGTCTTCCCGGCTACACAAAAGAATCTGTTTATTGCGGAATCCAGGCCGCTTGACTCTCGCTTTCCACTAGAGGGCGCGTCGGACGCGGATGTGGGAGCCAATGCTCTGCTCACTTACAGACTGAGCCCCAGCGAGTATTTCTCGCTGGACGTGCCACCCAACCACGAGCAGGTGAGGTCTCTTGGGCTGGTGTTGCGGAAGCCTTTAGACAGGGAGGCAGCCGCAGAGGTTTATTTATTGCTCACTGCCACGGACGGAGGCAAACCCGAGCTGACTGGCACTGTTCAAGTACTCATCACAGTGCTGGATGCCAACGACAATGCTCCGGTGTTCGACAGGACGCTTTACACCGTGAAGTTACCGGAGAATGTTGCCATGGGGACGCCGGTTACAAACGCCACCGCCTCGGATTTGGACGAGGGCGTGAACGGAGATATCACCTACTCCTTCTCTAGTGATGTTTCTCCGGACATAAAATCCAAGTTCCACATAGATGCTGCGAGTGGGGAAATTACAGTGATAGGACTTATTGATTTTGAAGAAAGTAAAACCTACAGAATTCAAGTAGAGGCAGTTGATAGAGGGTCTCCGCCCCTGGCTGGACACTGTACAGTTCTTGTGGAAGTTGTGGATGTTAATGACAATGCTCCACAGTTGACTGTCAAAAAGCTCTGGCTCCCTGTTAAAGAGGACGCACAAATTGGGACAGTTATTGCCCTGATTAGCGTGACTGACCTGGATGCAGAGGCAAATGGGCAAGTGACCTGCTCCCTCTTGCCTCTTGATCCTTTCAAGCTGGTGTCCAGCTTCAAGAATCACTATTCTCTGGTATTGGACAGCTCTTTGGACCGCGAGAGCATATCTAACTATGAGGTAGTGGTGACTGCTCGGGATGGGGGTTCGCCACCGCTGTGGGCCTCGGCCACCGTTTCCGTGGAGGTGGCCGACGTGAACGACAACGCGCCCCTGTTCGCGCAGCCCGAGTACACGGTGTTCGTGAAGGAGAACAACCCGCCAGGCGCCCACATCTTCACTGTGTGCGCGCGCGACGCGGACGCGCAGGAGAACGCGCTGGTGTCCTACTCGCTGGTGGAGCGGCGGGTGGGCGAGCGCGCGCTGTCGAGCTACGTGTCTGTGCACGCGGAGAGCGGCAAGGTGTTCGCGCTGCAGCCGCTGGACCACGAGGAGCTGGAGCTGCTGCAGTTCCAGGTGAGCGCGCGCGACTCTGGGGTGCCTGCCCTGGGCAGCAACGTGACTCTGCAGGTGTTTGTGCTGGATGAGAACGACAATGCGCCTGTTCTGCTTTCTCCTTGGACCCCAGGCGCAGGGGGTGCGGTGAGCGAGCTGATGTCGCGGTCAGTGGGTGCCGGCCACGTGGTGGCGAAGGTGCGCGCAGTGGATGCTGACTCTGGCTACAACGCGTGGCTGTCTTACGAACTACAGCAGGTGGGAGGTAGTCCACGCGGCCCTTTCCGCGTAGGTCTGTACACGGGAGAGATCAGCACGACGCGCGCCCTGGATGAGGCCGATGCTCCGCGTCAACGCCTGTTGGTGCTGGTGAAGGATCATGGGGAGCCTACATTGATGGCCACCGCCACAGTGCTCCTGTCTCTGGTGGACAGCAGCCAGGCCCCAAAAGTGTCTTCGAAAGCCCTGGTGGGCATTGGGAGTCCTGAAACGGCCTTGGTGGACGTGAACGTGTACCTGATCATCGCCATCTGCGCGGTGTCCAGCCTGTTGGTGCTCACGCTGCTATTGTACACAGCGCTGCGCTGCTCGGCGGTGCCCACTGAAGACGCGAGTGGGTCTGGGAAGCCCAGGCTGGTGTGCTCGAGTGCGGTGGGAAGCTGGTCATACTCGCAACAGAGGGCACAGAGAGTGTGCTCTGGGGAGGGCCCGCCCAAGACGGACCTCATGGCCTTCAGCCCCAGTCTTCCTCCGTGTCCTGTGTCTACTACCGATGGTGAAGTAGAGCCAGGCGTTATGTTGGACTCCTCTGGGAAGGTGGGTTTTTTTTTTTTTTTAGCTTTCATACGTTGATATAATCATATAACTAGTTAATCAGTTATTCTTTCAAATGTAAAATTGTTTACAAGTTTTCATTTTCTAGAAATGTTTTAAATTTTGAAAACGTATTATGAACCTCTTACTTTGGAATAGGCATTTGTGTTTTGGGTTTTCAAATGTGAATTAACAAAATCTTTTTATCAGATATTTATTTGGTGTTGAATTAGTTTTATTTAGTGACTTATGGGTGACATTGAATTATAGAGTTGCTATAACACTTGAAATTTTGTGATTGTAAAAGTTAAGGTGGTTGTTAGTAATCAATATTATCTACCATCCATTTCTAAATTTTCCAAATTATAGCTTGATCTAATTCTATTTTTTATAATAAAGCTTTTCTGGGCATCATGGGACATACCTGTAATCCTAGCACCTGGAAAGGCTGTGGGGGGAAGGTGACAATTTTATGACCAAATTTTGGAACCCAGCCTTGACAACAGTGAAACTCTGCCCCATAACAAATAACATTAAAATAAAAGAAAAACAGCAAAAATCCCAGAGCCAACCAATCAACCAGACAACAACAACAAAATCCCAATGAACCCTTACCTTTGCTTTTCTGTACATTTCTGTGGCTGCTGAATGGAAACTCTCTTGAGTGATGTTGTTTAGCACCACTCAGTCCCTATCCCTAATTTAATCAGTAATTCCCAGTAAACTCTGTGAAACAATTTTTCACTAAGGAATCTTCTGTTAAGAATGGTACATGTACATTTCTCATTTCAATTTATATGAAACGTACTCTTAATGCCTTAGCCATATGGAGCATAAGAAAATGTTGATTGACAGTCATTTGTATGTTTAGAAATTGTTTTGTAACCCATTTTTTTATATTAGAGAAAATATTTCCTGACACAAAATTTCTTTTTTAATGAAGAAATTCTTTTTATTGGATTTTTCTGTTGAATGATAAATTTCTGGAATATAAAGATTTTTTGAATTTTCTTGAAATCCATGATCTGGAATTTTAAAATAGTCACTTATACCAAGGTGGATGAAGATTTATTTTTTGTTTAGTGATCTACAGCATAGGAATCTGGATATGAGATTTTCAATCTTGAAAGTCACCACAAGTCATACTTACAGTTCCTGGACAACACTTTGTGAATTCCAGTTTGGTGGTTCTTTGCACTGTAGCTTTAGTCAGGGTTCTGTTTTTCTTTTATATTTTGCAAACTTTTACATATTTTTTGTTATGTGATTTATGTGTCTCTCTTTTAGCATTTTATTTTTTAGTGTGTCAGGTATATTAAAAGGTATTTTTAAAATTTTAGTGGAGCAAAATCAGAGTGGTCTTGCTCTGTGGAATAAAATCAGGTGTGGTGGCTCATGCCTATAATTTCAGCCCTCAGAAGGCTGAGGCAGGGATATCCACTGCAAGGCTGAGGTCAGCCTGGCCTGCAAAGTTAGTTCAAGACTAACTTGATACACTATCTCAAAAACACAAAAAAATCAGAGTGGTCTTGATAATAAAGCCACAATAATTATGAAAGTGCAAATAAAAATTTATTTCCGATAAATGTTTTAGAGATAGTCCCCTAAGCACGTTAGGATATGCTACAAAATTATTTTTTCATTGTAGTTCTTTTGAAACTGGAATTGTCTCTAAGTCCCTGTCATCAAACCTATGTATATCAAAACAAGTTATCTTGAATTCAGACTCACACTTTCTAATATCAAAACTGGCTTTGCAGTTTTTTCAGGGTCTATGTGCCATTGGGTTTACACCCAGATCCTTATTATGTGATATGGATTGAGGGGTGCTAAAGTATCATTTGATCACCCTAAAATTCCTATCTTTTACAAGGATTATATCTCAAGTTCTTACTATGCCATCCATAATTATATATTTATTTCCAGTTATTCACTGTTATTTTGATATAATTGATACTGTAGACCTTTATCTTAATTTATTCCCTCTTTGATTTGGAATGTCATCATTTGCAAATTTCCAAAGAGCTGTGAACACTTCAATAACCAATTTATATTTTGTGACCATGAGGAAGCATGAAGTCATTGGTATCAGGGATGTTGGGACTGAGAAGTCTAAAAGAGATGTGAGAGTTTAGAGTGCCCGATAGCAGACTAAGTGTTTCTGCAGGTAACAGTCCTCAATTTGAGTCAGAATCAAGATGGAAATAGTGAAATTCCTCTTACCCTAGTTCTCAAACTGTGGTTAGTACCTGGAGCAGATTAAGTTTCCTCCCAATCTCAGGCATGTTTAGAGCATACTCTAGATGTGCATACAAGAATATAGACACAAAGTGAACCTATTCTAGGCAAATTCAGCCCGCCTATTTATCGTCCTAATAATACTAACTACTTTAACAACAACTGAAGTCCTCATTGAACATTCTGGTTCAAAATTTAAGAATTTCCAAAACAGGTGGTAGGGGCAAATCTGTACATTAATGAGTACCACTTAAGATTTTTATACAATTTAAGTTGTAGATCCATAGCATGATCCGATGCTGGACAAAGTAGCTTTCTATTATTTAAGTAGATATAATTTAACTAACATCTGTTTCATACAATATTGAAGATCAGTATCAGGGCATGTATATTATTATTTGGTAAGATGTGCACATTAATCAAAATAGAATTTAGTTTATACCATTATCTTGTATTGAGATGTTTAGTCAGTTGTAAGCTTACTAGTGGATTTAGATGTTAGTAGTTCAAATTGAACACTGGTATTGTGGGTGAGTAGATAGCATACTACATTTGAATGTATGCCTTGTAAGAAAGTAATCCCTAAAATGAGAATTTGTTCCTTTTTAATAAGGGCTAAATAACTTAAGAATTATTGATATATCAAAACATTTTTATAATCCTATCATTAAGTCAATCTTGTATAGGATCAAAGGTTCTGTTAAGTAATTTTCCTTTATTTTTTTGCAAAGCAGAACACTAAAGATTTCTAACTAGAACAGGTTTATTAGCAGTGAATTATTCTTCCTCAATATTTTATTCTAGTAATTTTGAAAGGGGAATATGTTTTCACTGTAGGCAGGAATTAAAATCTCTATTTGCATTGAAAAAACTAAATTCCAGTACTGTATCTTTTGAGCATTTACAAAGCTTAACCATAACAATGATAAAAGTGGCTGTCTATAAAATCAGAATTTATAAACTTGTGAATTACCTTATTAAGATTTGTGATTAAGATACTTTTTGCTTACGTAAAATATTGAAAAGAAAATGTTTGATCAGTATAGGCACTTTCCTATTTTCCTTGAAGAAATTCTACCCCTGGCAGCAGTTAAGTAGCAACATTAAGTTATTGTGGAGTAATGATGTCCTATAAGCAAGTTTTGCTAAGGAGCTGAATTTGTTCTTGAGCATCATGAATGCAAATGAGGCTACATTTGAAGCCTGAGAACAGTTTCCCTTTATAAAACACTCTTTCTCCTTAAGGTACTGTCTTAGGTATTAATATATTTAACACACGTACTGTATTTTACACAGCCACCATGTTACTATTATGTTATAAAAGTGGAAACTGAAACTTGGAGAGGTTAAATAGGGAAACAAAGTCACCTGCTTAGTAAGCTGGAAAATTAGAAATCTAAATGGAGAAACACCTGATATAGAAGAAAGTGATTACTTTATATTTTGTATTGGCTGGAATTTTAATTATCACGGCTTGAAGAGACCAGCACTTTCCATCCAATAAGATACTAGTCCACTCAGTGGTGCACAATGATTAAGTGTATTTTGAAGTTTAACAATAATCATGTGGTTGGGGAAGGACTTAATTCTCTGAGGTTCTACGTTAAAGAAAAAAATTTCATCTGGGACAGACAACCGTTATTATTATACACAGAAGAGATATAATTATGAGATTTTGAAAATCCACAGAGGTAAAGATACATAAACACAAAACTCAAAGATAGGAATGAAAAGTTAAACTCATGTAACTGTACTTACACATTCAGCCACCGGATGTCGCTGTCGTCCACAAAAATACAGTTTTTTTAGACCAAAGGCTACTACCACATTGTTTCTCAAAGATTAGGAAGTAGCAATATTCTGAGGTCTCTGACATTTCAATGAAATATGGAAGAAGTCCAACAAGGAATATCACAGCCTGTGTACGTTCCAGTGGGAGTATTCGTCGATTTGTAAAACAAGAGAAAGCTAAGATGCTGGTCTGCAGATACCGCCATCCGGGATCCCAGCGTCTGCTGCTCTCGCTGCTGCTCCTCGCAGCCTGGCAGGCGGGCAGCGGCCAGCTGCACTACTCGGTCCCCGAGGAGGCCAAACACGGCACCTTCGTGGGCCGCATCGCGCAGGACCTGGGGCTGGAGCTGACGGAGCTGGTGCCGCGCCTGTTCCGGGTGGCGTCCAAGGAGCGCGGGGAGCTTCTGGAGGTAAATCTGCAGAATGGCATTTTGTTTGTGAATTCTCGGATCGACAGGGAGGAGCTGTGCGGGCGGAGCGCGGAGTGCAGCATCCACCTGGAGGTGATCGTGGACAGACCGCTGCAGGTTTTCCACGTG